CGTGTGAAAAGAGGACAGAGGGTAGAAGATAAGATAATGTGATGCTCTTGACGATAGTGTGAAGGGTATTTTATATATATATATATATAACAGGCAAATAAATAACGCTTGAGGGATTATCGTACACAAGAGTCTGCTTTAATACGCGTCATTAAAGAAAAATGGAAGAATGGTGGTGGTCACGATGATCTAAGCATTCAAAAATCCAGGTTCCGCACCCCCTTGTTGAAAACACACAAAGGGAATGATCGGCCGTCTGACAAATTAACAGTGGTTGGGGTCGACAGAGTCTTTTGTACCTTTATGGACAATTCTGTCAGCGTAAACAACAGGTAACACTAAAACAGAAGGAAGAAATTAGGGAGTACGATCCGCATGGGCCTTTTATGGAAATGCGGTGAAATGTTGCTTTACACCGTGTCTTCTACTATTTTAATGAATGATTGGGGCGAATGGCAACTATGACAAATCAGTTGGACGATGCCTTATAAATGAGGTGTAGGAACTGAAGGAAAATGCTATTTTTTGCCATCTCGATGGTCAAGAAGTAAATCCATCATAATGAGCTCTCCGCACATTGTACAGTAATGTCGTCTTCGATCTGAACAGATGATGACACCTGTTTTTTGTCACTGCTTAGGGTATCCAATAACTTGAGGGAGTAGCGGAGTGAATTGGGTCATGCAGTTATTGAAAGTGACAGGCACTATAATGATTAGGCAGAAATTTTGAGAAACGGCTCAAGATGCGGCAAGAAAAATGTTACCATTCTGCAGCCAGCCCGAAAGATGAAATATTACTATATTTTGCGACTCCCTCTATCCGCTGAATATCATTTCTAATTTTTAACTTTCGTCGACGACTTAAGATTTTAAATACCTAGTCAAGAAATCTCTGGCATATCTTTAACATATGTCATTAATTTACCGGCGGACCATTATGATAAATTAAGCTTCATTAAATGTTAATTAAATTTCTTTAGATGGAAATCTTTGTACTCGTCCTAGCCGTCTTGACGGTTGGTGTTTACGGTGTTTGCCCCCCGTTTTTGTCCAACGAAAATTCGTGCAACTGCAGCTCATTTGTCGACGGACTGATGATTCACTGCGTGGGACCCGAAGCAACGCAGGTTATTGAAAAGCTGAAATTGTACGATGTTTATATCAGGGAACTATCCATCCACCAAGCCAATATCAAAGAAGTAAGTATTTTAATGCTAACTTATGTAACTATATTCTTGACTGATTGGCTGATTAATAGCCATATATAAAACAGCCAATAATTTAAGCCCAGCGACTTCAAAGTTTAAGTCTGATGCAGTCAATAAGGTCCGTTTAAGCAGTATAACTCAGCAGGCTCATACGATAACATAAACACCAGCATTTTGGTGCGTCCTTTGTGGATCTTTCTCAAAGTG